ACGGCTTGGTAACCACTCCAAGAACTCTATTTCAGGCACCCTATCTTTGTTGTTGGTAAAGGTCTGTTTGCTCTGGAATCGTCACTCTAACCTCCTTTTTAACTATTGCTTCAGATCCATCCTTGCCAAACTCGGGTATTAATTCCTTATATCATTTAAATACAGCTTTCTAAAATTAAAATAACTGAAAATAAGATCTCAAAATGCTTTTTCGTTTTTAGTTTCAGCATGATCAATCTTCTCAGAGAGTTGTAAAAAGCTACTTACGCTTTTATTTATTTCTTCCAAGCTCCTACCAGAATTATTAGTCAATAATTCTTTGATAAGTTATTTTAGCGTATTTAATACCTTCTTCTTCCCACCAGTTTTTTTCGCTTTTTTGCTAAATGATTTTTTAATAGATGTGAATGATTCCTTAATACATTTTTTACCTTTACTGCTTGAGGAAATAGAGGTAGATTGCTCAGGTTGAGTTAATCTCAAAGGAATCATTTCTACTTCTTCACCATCATTATTTTCCTCTGACATTTCTTCTTCTCCATTTACGTTTACGTCCATTTGTTGGTTTGACACCTCTTCTTGGATTACTGGCGAATTAATCTGAAGTTAGTTGCTCATTCTCCTAACTATTGATGAAGTACTTAAATGAGACGATACAAAAAATCTTTGTTCAGAGATTACGGTCTCAACAGTTGTAGTGCAACCAGGAAAAAAACATTTATTTTTTTGCGTAAGTAGAAAATTTTTCTCAATATATCTCTTAAGAGAAAGGATCTCTTTATCACATTGTGAGCATTTTCTAAGTTCAGCAAATTCTTTACCATTAACAATTTCGTCTCTAAGATTTTTAAGAATGCTATAAGCAAGATTTCAAAGGTTAGGGAGAGAAGACATCCCGCTATTCCTGATCTTTAAGACGTATTAACAAGTGAAATGCGAAGTAAAAAATGCCTTTTTATATCACTTGTAAATTTCACAGGAGAAAACATTTCTCAGATTTTCACCAGCAATTACGCACTGCATTTCGTCATTTGTTAATCCTTTGCAAATCGATAAAAATGACTTCATGATTAGCATAGATATTTTCAAACCCTATATGCGAAATAATGATTACTGAAAAAAATAGCTATACCCAAATATTGGTTTGTCAGTATGATAGTAGCGTGTCTGGAGACATGATACAAAAATAAAGTCAAAAAAAATCATATGAATATATATGCGATTCACATGTCGCACAACCCCTATACTTCGGCAAAATTTTTTACTGAATATCTTCTGCGCATTTCAGGTGATCAGGTTTAGAATACCGCAGTCTCTTTACCCACGTGATTCGAAAAAAAAGAAAGACTATGCGAATATGCAATTCATCCAATAATTTTCCTAGACGGTTACTGGAGAGATAATAGGACTCATCATTAGGGAGGTTTTTCTTTTATATCTTTCGTCATGATAATGGTAACCTCTATCACGTTCACTATATTTATTATATTCACCATATCCATTATATCTATTATCGTCTGAATCGTCTGACATCTCCTCTTCAGAATCAATGTCACGATTAGAATCATTATCATCATCTGCCCTATCTGGTTAAGCAACTACTTCATTCGTTTTTCTCACTGACTGAGTTAATCAAATTCATCATCAAATACATGTTATTATAGTCTTTGGTTGAAATTAGAGAGATATACTCTTGAAAAATATTATGTCATGCAAAAAACATGAACAATGTTCATAATCGAGAAGAAATTACACAGAATTTGAATCGTGTTGAAGTCGAGATGGAATGTGAAAAATAAAAAATCAACTTATTATCTGCACTAGGATTTTGTATTAGTCGAGATAAAAAAAAATACTTTATGATGCTGTATATTTATAATTCGTATAATAAAATAAAAATTACGTGATAAAATTTTGGTGAATATAAGCAATATCTTACTCATATAGTTGCGAATTAAAGCGAAACTTTATTATGATATAAAAATAGTTTGTAGCTAGAGAGTAAGAAAAATACATATAATTAAAGAGATAAATATTTGTTTACAGACTATATAAGTTAGAAAGCAACCTCCTTTCCTTTACAATGAAGTGGACATTTTAAACATCTCTTCTTATAGGCGAAGGAGATGGTAAAGAATAAGATTGAGGCGATGATATTGGTAGAGACGTTCGTAAAACCTATAAATACGATTAGCACTTATATTGAATAAGTATGTGCAAATTTAAGATAAAACACTTACAGAATTGTTTCTACGACGCCTTTTGGGCGAAGGACCATAATTATAATTAATTCTTTTTTTTGTACGGAGATTAAAATCTCTACTTGGAGATGGGGATGATCTCCTTCTCCTCCTTTCATTAACTTCAGGTGAAAGGGATGCTTTTCTTCACCTTCTTTCATTAGCGTTGGATTCATTACGATCATCGTAGCTATTATCATTTATAAAGTCTTCACTTTCTTTGTCATTGCTATCTTCTTTACCTTCGTAAAAATTTAAATCGTTTTCCTTGTTGAAATCTCTTGATTTCAGAGCTTCACCCTCGTCAGAACCGTAAAAATTTAAATCATTATCTTCTTTGCCTTCTTTGTCAAAATATCCTGATCCCGAAGCTTCACCTTCGTCAAAACTTAAATTAAAATCTCTTGATTTTAACAAATCAGGAGGTAGAACCAATTTAAACTTGTCATTGGACGAACTCTCCTCCACATTGCATCTATTTGTGAGTTCTGCGATTCTGCTATTTTTTATTTTTATCTCTTTGTCTAGTTCAGAAATTATTTGGAGGTGATGCTCCTTTTCTTCTTAAAGTGTAGAAATCTCTCGTCTCTGAAACAATATGTTGTTAATGAAATGTAAAATTATATAAATGGAATTGCATTACATTAATTTACTTACTAATTTACATTCTTGGAACACTCCTTCCCAATAACTTTCTAATCTTTAGCATCCCGAGAGCATTCTAACCTGACCTATTGCAAGTAGAGTATTGTTAGCAGTATGATGACTTTTCATTTAGTGATAAAGGAAGGTATATAGTTTGCTTCTCCTCCAGAGCAAACAGACCTTTACCAACAACAAAGATAGGGTGCCTGAAATAGAGTTCTTGGAGTGGTTACCAAGCCGTCACATTCAGTAATTCTCCTAAGTCAATGCGCAAATTGCGGTTCAACTAGGAGTTACCCTCCCTTTGCAAAATAAAAAAAATGCACCTTTTCGCGTAAATCCAGCTTCAGCACTCCCGCTCTCTCACAAAGTTTGTTGCCCATGTGTTGTTGAGAACATCCCAATTTTTCGAGAATAACAGCGACGAAGTAACGACGATGTTCGTTTGAAAGCTTTCGTTTGAAGTTATTAATTGTTGTATAACAAGCAGAGATTCATTGTATCAATTGCAGTACGTGTTGCCCCTGATGCTGATAAGTAAAGTCCAACTTCTAACTTAAAATCATTCCAGCCATTATATAATATAAACTCTCAATGGTTTTTCTTGCTTCAACTTTATTATGTGCAGATCTGTTAAGTATCAATGCCTTTACTAATTTATCAAAAGGACCTTGTAAAACGTGGATCTGTTTTCTCGATCAAGCCCTAAATTATCACACTGGTTATATAGAACTCTTGTAAGCATAGTAAATTGTTCGGTAAATGAATAATTTTTCGATTCTATATATAAAAAAAAATTTTTTAATTTAATCATAAATATTATTACTATTCGTTCTATTTTCTTCGACTGGTTCGTACTTGGTACTCATATAATGAGTGACATAATTGTTGTCTATTCATAGGTATGTGTATGCTTCATAAGTCCCTTTTTTTTTGAGCTTTCTCGTTATGCTTATGAAGTAATTTACGAAATCGATATATTTGATTATTACAGAATGATTTTTTTGATTTTATAGTTGATTGCGCAGTATTTAAGCGTGATCTCAGTGGTGGCCAATCATTCAACACATTACATAATTAATAATATACACTTTTATAAATGGAAATGAAATGCCATCCAAAATTTTAATTTTTATATTTATAGTGAAATAAATTGCTATACAAAAAATTTTTTTTTTTTTTTTTTTTTTTTTGATTAAAGAATTCCAATTTATCATTATTTCGAAATATATCATCATTTTTAAAGAAATAAGTCGTTACCTTCAAACATATGTAGTAATAAATAAATATCATTATACTAATTAATAAATGAAATAATAAGATATAGACCGAGTATAACCATTCAGAAATCGGCGATCAAAATAATAAAATACATAGTAAACGACACGACGTTCTATATAAAGCATAAATTTGTTAAAGTTCGTACTAACATTACAATAATTGAATAAAGAAATAAAGAAATAATTTTTACCAGTCATCATGTTTTGAATCTAATTCAACTTCTGTTAATTTTGGTTCTTTTTTTTTGCTTGATTTATCATCCACTAAAAATTTGAAAGATTCAATTCGCTAAAAATTCATGGATTGTAAAAGTGAATTCATCGGGGAAAAGTTTAAGTTTTACCTTGTTCTTTTATGTCATCTTTAATTTCTTCATGAGGATTAAGCTCCGAATTTGTATTCTTTGATTCCTCTTGTATTTTTTCTTCTGCATTATAAGCTCCATCTTCATTTGCTTGTTCTATCAAAAAGTAACCAAGATAAGGTCGATCGAAATCATTCTTGTCAAATTGAATAATTGTCATAATTACATATTAGGCCTTCCCATATCATTGTTCAGTTTGATCATACCCTCTTGAAATTCTTCCTCTTCCGCTTTCTCCGCTTTCTCCGCTTTCTCCGCTTTTTCCAATTCTTTCATCTCCTCTTCCTCCTCTTCCTCCTCTTCCTCCTCTTCGTCTTCCTCTTCTTTGATTTGTATGTCTTCAGGTTTTAGATCAAACGATAACTCCAAGGAAGATTCGGTTGTTAACCCCTGCTCAAGGACGGATTCGACAAACGAACGGTATACATCCTCATTACTATGATTTGATGCGATTGTATCTTCATCAGATTTCTGGGAGACTATTTTAACAAGATATTCATCAATTGTCGTACAAGGTATTCTATCTACATAACATTCAATGGTTGTCTTACCTTTAACGACTATCTCTTTAGGTGGGGGTACATTTACAATTGCATCAATATCTTCTAGTTCTTCGTCCTCAGCTGGCGTCGACGAATAATTTAGTGGGGATGAAAATAATACACTGCGGCGAAACGAACTTTTTACATTCGTACGACAGTCTATACCTTCATTATTCGCAACAGGCTCCGGAACTTCATCTTTAACCTCATCTTCTTCGACCGTTTCATGTAAGCGTTTCTGCGTACGTTCTTTATGTAATTGATCGGCTTTTTCGATAAGACGTGCCACAGCAGGGTCGGTTTTCTGACGTCTATGAGCGGCAGCTGGTAAAATTTTTTTTTTTTTTTTAATCGAGAATTAGAAGTTAATGCAATAAAATTCGCGCGGTTTTTTTTTATCTCGAAAAGTGTATAACGAGCCAAAAGCTTGGCAAAGGAAGAGGGCAGCATCTTTTCAAAGGTTGAAAAACTTACATATAGCAGCCCTCTCCTTTAACCAATTCTTGGAGCCAGCATCGGTTTCCATCATCGCTTATTCGGAATAATTGTGTTTTTCTATCAACTCTCGGTTAAAAGAAATTTGACTTCAAATGATTCTAAATTACCACATATGTAATTCATTCAATGTCGCACGACAGGAAACAAATAGACTTTTATAATCAACTTTCTTTCCGAACAAGTGAAACCTCGTGCCATATAAACATCTGTGTATCACATCTGTACCGGTTTTAACATTTTTGAAAATTAGGTCTTTGCGTAAAACTGTGCATAATGCATATTAAATATGCAAGTAACGCTCCCATCAACTTTATAATGATATTGCGAATTCGCCTTTACAAAAAATCCGGAAAATCACATCATACATTTATTATTATGGTTATTATGATAAGCTTAATACAATGATTTTTGCATTTTAAAAAAAAGTTTGTGAATGTATATTTTACAGGAAAAAGACACGCGTTAAACCCACCCAAACAGATATTTGTATCTTTTTTTCTTTATAAAAAAAAAAAAAAAGAAAATTCAACGCGATGAAGTAGCCCACAGGTTTGGAGGTCTGTGAGATTTGTTTTTTGCGTAATACAATCCGCATGCTAAAATATAATAATTTATATTAGTTTAAAACCAATTCATCAAGAGAAAAGAAAAAAATATCAAGCTTACCATTACACAATTTTTGATCGGAAGTTTCTCCCGCTCGCCATCCGGGAGTATCGGTAGTCTGACAATTGGCACACTTTCCGGCTAATAGTAGAATAAATTAGACCATATAACTATTTTTAGCAACTACTATTAAAGTTCTAAAAAAGATATATATTTATATAATACCAGGATTATAATTGCACGGCTTAGTACGACCTTTTCCACTTATAGCAAGAAATTCGGGCAAGGACGGCGCTAATGCACTGATTGGATCGTTTTGTTCCACACCCGACGTAGAATGTTTCGGTATCTGTGTTTTTGTCGCCTGTGAACCGACCACGGGAACCGGCATTACGTATGATTGCATAGGAGATATTGCACGCGATTTAATCTCGCTCCTAGGCGCGTGCTGAGCAAGTTGGAACAGACGATGTTGCACATCGTCGACTAAGTTATGACAAGAAAGATTACATTAATATTTAACGATGACATCATGATAAGATTAAGATCGAGAAATTCATATGATAAAATACCAAGCTGTTTCTGTGTCCCTTGATGAGCAACAGCATTTTCGTTATTCTTTACCGCGATTAACTCGGCCAATGACTTGGCATTGAGATCCAACATTTCTTGGAAACTGGTGTCTCCGAGAGTGGCCAACATGGAACTGGCTTCCTGATCGCTTACTAGAAAGTCTAGATCGATTTTTTCGTTTTGCCACATTTCCAACTCTGCTCTTTGTTTTCTAAGTTCAGGGAGGCGCCGAATTTGGCCGAGTTCGTTACCCACATTAACCGGGCCAAATTCGGTGTCCAAGACAGCGGACGTATCAATAGGTTCTGTCTCCATGTTAGCAATTTGTTGGTCGACACTGTATGCACCTCGAGTCAATTTGTTAAGGAAGTTGTCAACCTGCGAGTTCATTTCATCACCCATATCTTTGACAAAGTTCTTTATGCTTTGAGAATAAGCGTATCCCCTTTCATCACCATATATATTATAGAAATATTCTTTTTCGGATGGTGAATAATATGGCGCGTCCATTCCTAACGTCGCGAATGGACCATAATCTTCAAATCGTGCTAAATTATTTAAAATTGATAGAATAATTATCAGATTGATCCTTCAAAAAAAAAAAAAAAAAAGAGCTTAATATTATTAACTAAAAATCTAAACATCTTACCTGGACGTTGGGCTTTTGATGATATAACTGTAAGTAATGGTGTCTCGCCAAAGGGTCGTGCTTTTGGCAAAAGCTCTCCAGGATTTCCAACTACAAATTTGCATGTTAGAACGGTTATGAAAGTGCAATAGTAAATAAGAATAAACAAATACATAAAAGAAATTTTATTTTATTACAAGGCAAAACTGAACCATCCTGTGCAAATTGTTTGCGCGGATCTCCTCGCTTCGTTCTTCTAGGTTGTCTCATGGGCCTTGAAGAAACGGAGGAGCCTATGAATAATTTATGTTTATACATTTAGCAAAATTTATATGTTTGAAAGTCATCATAAAGGATAATAGAAGCGAACTAACCTCTGCTAGAAGCATTGTTGCCAACGTTAATATTAGACTATTTGACAATATAAATTAGTAATCAAATCATGGTAACGAACTTAAGAATGTGATGTGGATTATCTGAAAACCCTACCTTCTTGCCTCCATATTCAATATCAATAATTTCTTCCAATGCTTTTGCCTTTTCTTCTTCTAATAGAATACTATCTCTTTCTCGTTCAATAGATTTTTCGCCAAAAGCCCAAAGTTTTTCGGCACTTTTATAATATAAAGTTTCTGGAGCATTATATGTCTTGCAATTATTACAAATAATTGCAAGATCGTCCTAACGAATTCGTTAAAATATCAATTAATGTTAAGATGTTAAAAATGTACTCATGTTCCTGATATAAGATTGTATCGCCAACCTTGAATGTATCAATGGTTGTATATTCATTATTTGCCACCTTCTTACGCATCGTTCCGAGGTCCATAGGATTTGTGATAATGGTCGAATAATCAGTCACGATGCTTGTATCAACAGGTTCCAAAAAGAAACCATACGCATCTTTCCTTTAAATATAATATTTAAAATTGTGCAGAATAGTCATAATGAATTAATTATTGGAAGGGGTCATATCGGTCAAAGATCGATATGATTAATCGGTGCTTACTTTTCGAAAGAGTCCAATAACTTATTCAAGATTGTCTTGAGATCCTTCTTCTTTTTCTGCCATGTCCAATTACGTTGAATATTGTTACGAGCCTCTTGTAGTGATTTTGGAGGCCTTCCCAGCTTACGTACAGGCCCGGCTTTGGTAGAAGGTGATGTAGTAACATCTTTGATTGTCGACTTGCCATTAACATCTTCGGAGATATCATGACATTTAGTTGTAGCGAACTTAGTTTGCTGTGATGTGTGGATTTCGGAACTTTTAGGTGACGTAATAACACCAGCACCTTCTTGAAATGACTGAACGGTCTTCAAAGAGACTTTGTGAACTTTTGAGGGACGTGATTCATCCGGTTTATTAACATCTTTAAAACTAGGTGGATATGAACGCTTTTCTCTAAGTTGATAAGATGATGTTATACCGGAAACTTCTTTGCGATCTTGCGCATAAATTGAAGGACCGGCTTCTACTATATGTTCGAGGGGTTTCTTACCGGCGACCCTCTTTAATTGATTCTTTGTACCTTCACCACTTAATTGTTTTTGATTAGATAAATCATGAGTTGATGATTTCTCATTCTCCTCTTTATTCTTAATATCTTGTATTACTTTTGATATTTCCTTATTAAAAGAAATGGTAACGTTCTCCGCCTTTGAAGTATCCGTATTAACTCCACCTGATAGATTTACGTCAGTCAAGGAATCTTCTACATCTACAACATTAGGTGAAACTTGCTTTGACTGATAATTCAGCGACGATTGTGTGTTTACATTTTCACCGGCAGCAACAATTTCATTCACGTCAATGTTCCTTTGATGTTTGACCTTCTTTCGAGAATGGGTTGATACGATATCATCACCTTTATCACTTTGTTTTCGATCAGAATCTTCAAGATTTGAACCTTCAATAAGATCCCGTGCTTTACGTTTTCCCTTGTTGACTTTTTCATGAGAATGCGATGACGAAGCCTCAATAACTTCGGAGCGGCGTTTATGTTTATGCTTACGCTTTTTATTCTTTTTTGATGATGAATCTGGATTAAATTTCAATCTCAATATCGTTCTTCGAGGGGTTTCTCTCGAAGCAGAGGCAATTTCGTTATCCTCTACATTTACATTCATTTGATCATCGACAAGATCTTCCTCCTCGTTATTATCTTGCACTTGAGAACTACTTTCCACCCTCGGATTGTCATCGTCATCAGTTCGTCTGTATGAAAGTCTAATTCTCGTACGAGGTTGCTCGAGTCGTGGCTGTTCATTTATTGTTTGTTCGTTACTAAGGCGTTCTAAAGAAACGAAAGTAATCGATAATTTTTTAATTAGTATAAAAGAAAATTAGCTACAACCAATTTGTATAAGTAAAAAGAAAAAGTTAACTATTTTGACGAAAGTATTCTTTTTTTTTTTTTTAAAAAAAAAAAAAAAAAAAAATATTATAAACTATCATAATTAAATAGTTATATGTCTAAACTTAATGAAAGCTTACTGCCAGAAACTCTCTCTGTTGTTCAGACGAATCTACGGTGTACGCGAGGTAATTTATGTATAACCATTTCATAAGTCTTATAACTTCGCGTAAAAATCTTTAATTTTAAGGAACGGAACAACAATTTCTTACCACTTTGAGAAGAATCTCTATGCGAACGTTTATGTTTATGTTTATGAGTTTTTTTATCCTTCGACTTTTTGCCCATATTTTGCGTATAGGAACTTTTAATGGTTTTGATATGTCAGATTTGCCACCATATGCTGTGAAGTGAGAAAAGGGAATTAAGGTTGCTCAAAAAATTTACATTCTATAATTTAGAATTGTAAATGATATAATTCCTAGCAGAATTACGAGAATTATGTATCCAAAATTATTTCATAAACAGCGAATTTCCCGAAAAGGGAGATTATATTACTCATTTCATTATAATTGCCTTTTTTTGTAATTTTTATTATAAATTATTCAAGAATTTCTAATTCTGTGATCGAATGTATTATTTTATTGTCATCTCAAACATATCACATAAAAAATTAAATATATTAATTTATATTTAAGTTCGATTAACTGATTTACCATCCATTTTATAGTTGTTAAATATGTAACAGACAAATATCTAGAAATAAATAATTTATAATGTATATTTATTTATGATAATATCAAATAAATAAATCATTGCTTAAAGACTTACTAGGATAATTTTCCAAAAAATTCGGAAAAATCATAACGATCTTCTTCATTTTTGGTTTTTCCCATATCTTGTGTGTGATGATTTGATCCATCGTCCTGTTTAACTACATCTTCCATGTGAATCGAATCGTCAGATTTCATTTGATCCTTCTTTTTAGACGCTTTCTTCGCCTTTTTAGACTCTTTTTTTTTATTTTTATTCACTTGCGGATTAAGTTCTAACTCTAATTTTGAGAAAATCTGCTGAGGGGGGTTAGCAAAAGTAACTGTCTTGGGCTTCATTTGAGGCACAACAAGCTCCGTTGATTTTTCTTCAACTTCCATTGGAATTGCTTCTGGAGCTTCATCGCTGTTGTAAAAACTATATTAATAAAAATGATAATATTTTTATGGTGCATTTCACCTATAACCGTCATAAAGAATTCCTTTTACATTTAATATCCTTAAAAATTTTTAATGTTTTATGAAATCGCATGATGATCTTAACAAATTAGTTAAGATCGTCAGTAACAGCAGCATGTATTAAGTAATCATAAATTTCGGAATGTGACGGTTAAAAATGAACTGCACATATTCTCTCGATAAACCCAACCCCGATAAAGGTTCATAACCTCATATAAAGTTATATTATAAACTGTAACTATATCCTTTGCTTCCCTATTTTTATAAGAAATAATAAATTAAATACAATGATATAATATTTTATATAGTCATATGTAAATGAAGACTAGCTTACCATTATTTTTTGATTACAAATTTTAATGATCGGATTTTGGTATATCGAGAGTAGAACGTAAGTCAAAAAACTTCTTATGAAATATTTACCTTTGAGAGTCATCGTTGTCAATAAAATCATCCATCTCTATTTCCGGAAACTTTCCGGTCTTAAATTCCAATAATAAATAAAGGTACGAATTATTTATTAAAGTTGAATTACAACAATTACAACACATACCGTCACAATAGCAGAACTTCCAAAATCATTCTTAGTCTTCACACTATCAAGAATAGTTTGATCTTCACTCTCATTGCACACCTCGTCCAAGTTGAACTCTTTACTCCATGTTGAAACGATCGTACTATCAAGAATCACGTTATCTTTTGCAGCTGTTGGTGGTACAGTATAATATGGTATCTTGCCAGAATTCCAATCGTGCAAAACTATCTTTGCCGCAGAATCAAGATCAGGGATGCCACCACGTCTTAATTTGCCCCTTTGGCGGGCTAGATGTAAAAGGAATTCGTTAGTATGCCTGAACATTGGAACACTATATCTGTTCATTAGTTGTTCAGGTTTACAACGAGAAACGATTAGTTCAACTACCAAAAAGAAAAAAAATTAATAAATAAAGGAAAGTTGCAAAGTGAGTGAATGATTATTCAATTGTTTAAAAGAATAAAGTTTAAAAAAATCAAAAATCAAAAATCAAAAATAAAATATACCAGGTGGAATAGGGTCATCTAATAGTTCGACTTTGATACAATTTCTTAACAAAATTTCCGCATGCCCGTCACCCCACTGATTACGAGTAAATACAATCCCAGGACAATCCAATAACTTTATATTCTTGTCCAAGTGAATCTCTTGTGCAGACTTTGTTAACCCTGGCGAGGCACCTACACCACAAACCTTGGACCGTTTTAAGGAATTAATAACAGAGGATTTTCCGACATTTGGAAAACCGATTACTCCAACAGTAATTGAAGTTTTTATATTCAAACTTCGAGAGTAATTTTTAAGAAGCGTAATAAGTGTGTCAGCACCTAAACATTCATTGCTGTGTTTTATTATATTATTTGATGCGGTAGACACCGATGAAGAAGAATGTCCGAGATTCTTTCGTTGTGATTGAGTGGAGGATTTAAAAGCAACTGTTGGAAATTCTTTACGGAGATATATAAGCCATTGGGTTATATTTTCTCTGGGAACAAGATCTAAAATTTAGAACGATTATTTATCATTCTTTAAAATAAACGAGTAATATTACAACATTTTACTTATAACTGAACTCTGGATATTACCGATTTTATTCAACACCAAAATGATTCTTTTGGTAGATCCACTTTCTGTTATCATCTTTTCAACTTGTTTAGTTCTGCAGCCCAAAGGATCGCGAGCATCTAATATCTCCAAAATCACATCAGCTGTCTCAAGAACTTTACGAAATTCTTTATAATATGCTTTGCGAGAGTTATCTTTCTGTCCAACAGCGGCCGCATCTACAGATGCTATTACTCCGTCCTCTTCATCCTCAGAATTATGATCATTATCAAAAACTATATTGCGGTTAGATACATCTTTAGCAAGCGACGTAAAATTTAAATTTCGATTCTTATCGAACAATGAATTTCGTGCACTCGCTTGTCGTTGTTTTTCATCTTCAAGCTAAAAGGCATATTTTATAAAGATATACTTTTAATTTCAATAGATAAATAAGGTTAAGACAGGTTAAAAATATTGTAGATTGAATTTGATCTTTCATACTTTTATTTTCTGCTGTTCGATTTTATTCAAGAGTTGATCTTTAAACGGATACAAATTCGGTATACCAGGATCTTTCTTAAGTTCTGTTCAATAAAAAAATTTTTTTTTTTTGTTTTTTTAAAAAAAAAGAATTCAACACGTCAAAAACTTCCTTAGTAAATTGTCAAAAACCGCGTGTTTTACAAGCAAAGCTTTGATTTAATAAAATTAATATAATATAATATGTTACATACTACGGGATTTAGGATTCTTTCTTGCTTCTTTCTTTTCTTTCCTTTTATGTTCATTAACCTTTCTCTGAATTTTGTAACGTTGTGCGCATGTCGTGCGCTTGCTTTGGGTCTCTACAAATTAATTTGGAAAATAAAAAATAAATAAATTAAAATAAGTTCTAAATTAAACAACTACTTTCCTCAAAAATTTTGCAAATTAAGCTTACTCTTGCGAACCATCCTTTAAACAATATAAATCTTTCTAAAAGCAAAATGTTTTAAAGGGTAAACCTTGTTTTAAACAATTTTTTTTTTTCTTTTCGATCCCTTGATTTAACCAATCATGATGCGAGATCTTTTTTATTTAATTCATGTGATTGAAATTATCAAAATGAATTGATACTCGCACTACAATACTACAATTGATTTCTTCTTAAACGAACCAAGAAGAAAAATACTCCGATTTATTGATCTCTTTCTTTAGATCTCTCCCCAACTCTTCGAAGAATTCCAATTAATGATTATTCAATTAATGATAGATGCACCTTTAGCAAACGACGTCAAATTTTAAATTACGATCCTTACCGAACAATGAATATCATGTCATCATCAAGCTAAAGGACATAAAATATTTACTTTGAATTCCGACGGATTCACAAAGATCATTTGTTATTCAGTTGAACTTTTTAAACTGATATAATCAGGACCTTTTTTTCGGCTCTGATCAGTAAGCAACTCTGAAAAAATTAACGATTTAACGCGCCGGAATCTCCCAAATAAATGTTTATGCTTTACTAATTATTTAAATTTAATTCAATTATATCGAAATTTGAGTTTAAAATTCTTATCAAAAATGTTTTCCGTGGTAAAAACCGGATGAAAGTTTTTTGATTTAATATTGATAAAGATAAATGCTTCTTTCTTTTTAAGAAAAAAAAAAAATTTTTAAATTTTATAAAGCTTTATAATTTTTTAAGGCAATTTCATTAATTAAAATTTCTTTCTATATCGATATGCAAATATTGATTGTTTGATAACTTGTCAGATACTTGTAAGATCAATTTTCGATCTAACCAATCATGATATAGGATAAATTGTTATCTAAGCTGAAACCTTTTTTTTTTAAATATTCTTCTTTTCTCTCTCAATAACTAACAATGACAATTGACACCAAACTTTATATCTCTTATAACCAAGTTCACCAGCTCATAAAAGATGCAGTTGAGCGTTACCAAATTAATGAAGAATTTAAGCCCGACCTCATGATTGCAATAGGTGGTGGCGGTTTTATCCCCGCTAGAATATTGGTAAATAAATATAATTTCTTTAACTATTTTTGTAAAAGGATAACTTTATTATAAATAAATAAAAAAAAAAAAAAAACACGGCACGTCTTTTTTCTTTTTTTTGTTTTAAAAAAAAAAAAAAATATTTATCATGATACCCGTGTTCGACGAAAAGATTAATATTAATTGAACCAAAGTCCATTTTCTTAGATAATTCAAAGCACGTTACAAAACTTGCTTTTATGTAACGAGCATTCGCTGTTTGTATGACAATCATGTTAGCAGGCAATGCACAAATGATTAATTCCTTACATTTCTTCTCAAAAAAGCGTACATTCTTAAAACGAGCCAACAATAAGAATATTCCGATTCAAGCTATTGGTCTCTCTCTTTATGAGGATCTTATTTCTCCTAACCCTTCGAATATTAATTCAAATCATTCAACGACAGATTCAATTAATAATGGTTCTCTTTCAACGATTGGCACACAAGTGATAAAAACTCAATGGCTTCATTTTGGACCTTCTCATGCAACAACGTCTCCATTGTTAGGCAAAAATATCCTTATCGTAGACGAGGTCGATGACACTAGAACTACACTTGCTTATGCCGTACAAGAACTAACCAAAGATATAGAGGAAGAGAAACGTAAATTTTTACAAGATAATTCAGAACATGTCAATATTAAAGTTCCCGAAACAAAGTTCGCTATATTTGTACTTCATAATAAAAAGAAGGAGAAAAGAATGGAATTGCCTGACCTTTCTATAATGAAAGAAGGAAGATATTTTGCGGCTAAAGAAACACCCGATCGTTGGTTAGTTTATCCTTGGGAAGCTATTGATATCGAAGAACATACAAAAAAGAGTTTGACGCAGGAACAAGAAGCATTAGAGATGTTACAATAATAAGATTATATCAATATTATTATTATAAAGGTTGAGATAAAGAATCCAATTTTAAATTTTTTTAGTAAAAAAATTTTTCTACAAAATTAATGGGATGACAGATAACATTCTTAGTATAAAAGATTTTTTGTTTAGTAAAAAAACGAAACATTTTGTTTTCCATTTAAAATATACTTATAATTTTAAATTTTCATCGAACTCTTGAAGGGTTTTATTAAATATTTATTTTCTATACAAAAGTTCTGATAACTATAAAATATGTTGGCATTGATGTTTGCATAACATGATAATGGTTTGATTTTCGAAGTGAAGTGGTGTATCTAATAATTTAACATTTGCGTTTTCTTTTTTTGGCTAATTTATTGATTTTTAACAAAATTGAGATTTTTATTGCATCTTAGTTTTTGATGATATGAGATTAAAATGCATTAAAGCTTTATAATTTATAGCTTTATAATTATAATTTTGGTTATTGTTACACGAATAAATTAAGAATAAAAAATTTCGCAGAAAATTTTATGGATAATGATCTCGATATATATAAAATACAGATAAAGGCAACATTTCTGTTTCGCAATTTATAATAATTTCAATGATAAAAATCAGCGAATTCAACACTAATGAAAAATTTTTAACTTCGTTTTTTTGCAGGTAGAGACCACAGGTCTAACGAAAAGCCTTGTTAAGAAATGACGAAGTGGCTAAAACAGTAAACAGTTTTTATTAAAAAAAATTCTAACAAAAATATGTCTCTTAGCTAAACATACCGATTTTTCTCGCTCAGTTTTTTCTCTCGCAACGAGTGTTCGACCTATACCAATTTTGCATTATCATCTGCCTGGATGTTAAACGTTGTTCGTTCTTGTCAGTTCATCCCATGAAATGTTTCTCGTTCAGATTATCGATCGTGTTATCCATTTAGTTGGTGAATTGGTGTTGGTTAACAAAGATGAATAGAGTTGTTGAAGCGCTTAAATACTTTCAATACATTCGGAAAGTCACATGATTGTGGTAAAACTTGTCGCTTGACCCAGGAGAAATAATTTAATAAAAAAAGGATAATTATGGTTTTCTCTCTTATTCGATTGTTCGTTCATTCAAGGAGTAAATTAAAATTTTTATTTTATTATGTTGTTAATGAAAAGAGGTTGTTCAAAGCTATTAGTATATCTATATAGCAATAGATAGAAGCTCCTCTCTGCTTGATACACCTTTTGTTTTTCCTTATTTAGTATAATAATAGGGTGAGGTTTCATAGAAGTATAAATGAAGAAAAGTGGTAGAATTGTTTTTTAGCAGTATGGAAATTGTGAAATTATGAAAACTATTTATATAATATGTAAAACAAAAAGATTTTTATTAAATCATTTAGCAGTAAACACATACATATTCTCTAATTGTAGCAGATTTATCATGAAAAACTCCCAAAAAATTAAGTACATATAAGGTGTAAAATCTTTTAAATTATTAATTAATACTGTTTGCACATATGCAGACTGTTTAATTTTATGTAATCAATTAAATTTATATTTTAACAATAAATCATTTAATCAATTAATCTGAAAATCTGAAATTTATTCCAAAAATCCAGATTATTCTTATTAATTTGTACTACTTTTCTTAAAAAAAATTATATTTTTTTTTGCTTTAAAAACATTACTAAGAATTAATTTTGAACTTACAAATAATTTTTTAAAAATATTTGAAAAGTAATATGCATATCCTTTCCCTTTATAAACTTTTTTATTCTAACTTAATTTAAAAAACATATCTTTTATATTTCATAAATTTTGATTCTTTCTAAATCTTAAGCTTTTTCTTCAATTTTAGTGTATATCTTTTAATCTTTATTGTATTCAATTAATTGATCAAATACATATACAGTTATTCCTCTTTATAATCACATCTCTCAGGATTAAAAATAAAAAATATAATTATAATAAAAGTAACTATATAGGAAATTATTATATATTGCTACTAAAAATTAGTTTTAAAAAGGTGTAATTATAAAAATATTGTAATTATAAAAGGATTTTTTTTTATATAGTATTAATAGATATTAGATTTATAAAATATATGCTTATAATGAGGAATTTATATGATGTGATTATACAGAGGGTGATTATAGAGAGAATGACTGTAATCCTTTATTATATTTTTGTAAAAAACAATTATTCCATTTGGTTAATATATAACAGAAATCTTCAATTATATCTTAAATACACATAGTTTTTGTATTGTTATCTATAGTATTTCTAAAAAAATCAAAATTATAAAGTATTAAAAATATTTTATGTTGAAATAAAAATACTTATCTTTTTATGAATGATAATATTATTTTCATCTTTAAATTTTTCTCTTATATAATTTTCAAAATTTTAACAAAAAGCATTCTTTCTTTTTTAATTTATATAGAGTCATTTTGTTTCTTAATTAAATACTTTTAAAGTCTATATTAATCTAACATTTACTAACAAACTTAATAATTTTTAACCTTTTTTTTTTATAAAATAGTTAAAGAAAAAAATATAAAATAAAAAAAAGTAAAAGAAGTAAAGTTCTAAATGGTTTAGATTAATTTAAAGATTTTTTTAATTTAAATTAGTTTAGATTAATTTTAAATTGCATAAAAATTAATCTGAAAATTTTTAGTTTAGTTTAGATTTTTTCAAATATAATTCTAATCTAAACTAAAAAATTTAACTTAACTGAAAATTTTAATTTAATTTAAAATTTCAATTCAATTATATACAATTCTTAAAGAGAATCTATAATTTATTTGAAGAATTACAAAAAATTATAAGTTTCTTTTTGAAATTCATATAAAAAATTACAAAACTTTTAAAGAATTATAAATTCTTTTTGAAGTAATTTTAAAGTAGAAGTTATATAATTAAATAAATAAAATATCAAAAA